GGGCTGAAGGTGTCTTATTCCTGTTGGTACCCACCCCTGTTTCCATGGTTAACTCTCAGGGACACCCTTACTTTTCAGGCAGGGGTGAGGTATGAATACAGGAGGGTCAGTGAGGCTTTCCCTGTGTACCTGTGGATGATGACCTGGGTGCAAGGGTCAGTCAGTCTCCTCTGCAACCTCCTGTCTGGGATGTGGGAAGGGCCAGAGCCAATACCAATGTCCTATTAAAAACCGGGAAAGGAGGTTCTGGAAGGGGGTGAGGGCAATACCTGGCTTAGACCCAAGGACCCCAGAGAGCCCAGGAGTGTTGGATTGGTCTTGTGGTTATGCAGTTTAACGTTTTAGTTTCCAGGTGAGAAAATGAAAACTCAAAGATGTAACAGCAGATGAAAAAGGACAGAGCTGGTTTTGGGGGGCAGGAGCCTGGAGGTCAGTCAGGCCCACTGTCTTGCTGTGTGGTAGGGCCAGAGCCTCTGAAACGCCAGTCTATTCTGGAACATTCCGAGTTCTCTGTGCTTAATGATCTCCTTGAAGGCAAACCCGTGAAACCTCCATGATGCCAAGATTTCCCTCCATGAGCTGAGCGAGGACAGTGCAGAGGAGCCCAGGGGACATCTATGTCAGGTGACAAGGCTGGGGTGGGGTAGTGCTTAGGGACACACACCCTGGACATCAGTCTTATGTCCTTTTTAGAAAGACACTACTGGAGGAAATGGGAAACTGATGGAACACATCACTCGGTGACACAGTGTATGTCACTTGGAGGGCCTGGTTGGGGAAGGACTGCCCCAGAACAAGGTGAAGATGGAGAGATGTGGGTAGAGTGGAAGCCTGGACTCCAACCTGAAGCAGAGGAGTTGCGTCTTCTACTCCGATGACTCCTTGGGTATATATGCCACATTGTCATAGGCAGGGGGTGGAGAGACTGCTGGGCTGGGGATGTTGAAATCCGTGCCGAAGGCGTTGGGTAGGAAAATCACAGACTGCAAAGAAACAGAAAACCCCAATCCCGGATGGCTCTGCGGTCTTCCGGGAGTGTTGCAACAGTGCCACCTAGTGGGCACTCTGAGAACAGCTCCTTAGTACCGAATGCTCACACACACACAAAGCACCGTTTAATAAACATTTCAGAAAATACTTTCTAGGGTTAGTTATGATCCAGGGCTTGGACACACCGCAGTGAGAAAAGTGGAAAAAGTTAATTTCTCTAGGGCCTAGTGAGCTGATGTTTCCTGTCTGCACAGCAGCTACTGAGTTCGGGGCTCTATAGCTCTTGTCTGAACCACAGCGCTGGTCCCTGGCTGCTTCCACACCGGTAGCCCTTCACTGTGCTCCTTGAATCCGTCTCATCCCCCTGCTCCAACCTTAAATGGCACCCGCTAGCCCCTGGCTGCATTTTTCTGCCCAGGCAAGCCTTTGTGCTATTAGTACCCTCCCTCCCCCCTTCCCACTCTCATTTTGTCCCCCTCTTTTTCCTCCCTTTTCCAGGGAAAAATGAATTTAACTTCCACCGAATCGTACTGTCTTTTCTGATGTGCCCACCTGTTCACAGTCTGTGGACACCTCTGTGCAAGGTGGGCCCCTTACCAGTCCCAACCCTGTCCTCCGGAAGTATCTCAGCTCTGCCGCTAGTGCTGGCGCCCCCTGTGGCCACAGGGTGAATAGTCCCATTTCACAACTTTGGGCCCTAGTGTCTTATTGGAAACTCATAACAACTCAACCCCAAAGGGGAAGTGGGAGGGAGGGTCCTGGAGGCGCAGTCTCTTCCCAGGCTACAGGCATTCCTCAGGGGCTTGAACATGGTGTGAGAGTACTCACCGCGTTAGTCTGAGCACGGGTGGCTTGGCACCCAAAGTGGCCTCATCTTCCTTCCCCCCCACACCCTATCTTGGAGTAGAGCCACAGTGTCAGGACACTCATGAGGTCTATTGGAGCAGCAGACTCTGCAAATAGCCTAGGGCCGCGGACAATTCCATCAGTTTCCTGACTGCAGTCCTAATCTTTCTAGGTTTAGTACCCTTAGGGACCTGTGCCAACACACCCAGTTAGTGACACCGAAGTCCATGAGAAGAATGGCTGTCCCAGCGAAGGCTGCCATGGCACTGAGGATGTTGGTCCCCAGACTGCTCCTCACCTGTGGGAGGAACAGGGGCACCAAGAAGAGGCAAAGAGGAGAAAGGACAAGGGGTGCTAGCTCACTATGCTGGCCTCCTGCTCCCTCCCTCCCATGGGCCCAGGGTTGGGGCCATGAGCCCTGCACAGCTGGGCTTCCATTCTCACTCTTTTTTTTTTCTTCTCCATCTCTGGGACCCCAGGGAGAGGTCCTGATGCCTCTTTTTGCTTATTCCATCCCCTTGGGAGCTGTTGTGGAGGAGGCCTGACCCTCTTGGTGGCTTTCCTGGGCCAGGTTTGCAGCAGGTGCCTGTCCTCCCCCTGTCTGTGCCCCCCACTTCCTTTTTCCCTGGCCCAGGCTCACCTACTGAGACAACTTGGTGTCTCTTCTTTCAGGGACCCTTCCTGCATTGACTTCCCCTGGATATCTATGAGCACTTCCAAACTTGGGTGGCATTTTGCAAGTGTTCCATCACTTCCTTCTGTATTTGGATATCTAACTTCTTTACACGGACACTTAGAAAATCCCCAAGAAATGCTTGTTGAATGGGACAAATGCATGGGATGATGGGGGGGGTGTCCTGAGTGGCACCCAGGTGAGTGGGCCCCATCCCCAGTCTTGATTCTCTGTCTCCATTCTTACTTACCAGGCAACTGGTGTGGTTTTTCTCAGCTGCTACGGAGAGGGACCCAGAGATGATGAACTGTGTGGGGAAAAGAGGGCCCAATGAGGTTTTGGCTGGTTACTGACCAGGACACATCATGTCTAGATTCCACCAAGAAGACACAGGTGTAGGCAGAGAACCATAAGCTTTCTTGTCTGCATCCTGGCCAGGCATCTTGGGTATATTTCTAAGGGTGTGTTAGTGGTTGTCTAAGAGGCCTTTGTCCTCTGGCATGGTAGCATATACCTTTAATGCCCGCACTTGAGAGGCAGAGCAAGGAAATCTCTGTGAGTTTGACGCCAGCCTTGTCTACATAATGAGTTCTAGGACAGCCAGGGCTACAAATAGAGACTGTCTCAACAAACAAACAAACAGCAACAACAACAAAAAGAGGCCTCTGTCTTGAGACCTCAAGCCATAGTTTGCAAGGTATGCATTTTCATTGACATTACTAAAGCCTCATATAGCATGCACTTTCAAATATTCATTGATCAAATATTTACCAAGTAGTAGCTGGGTGTCAAAAACATAATAGTTCTGGATAAAATGGATCACCCTTGTCAAAAACCAACCTGAGCTTGCACTCCCGGGGCTGGAGAGACATAGACAAGCAGCCCTCCCTGGGTCTCACTGGTCAGGCCTGCCAAGTCCAGGTAAGAGAGCCTGTCTCAAAGAACAAAGCAGGCAGCTCTTGAGGGATTGCAAGCTCAGGTTGGCTTTTGACAAGGATGATGGAGACACAAGTCAAGCCCTCATTCTTTCCGTGCAAGTGCTTTACACTCCGAGCGATCTCCCTAGCCCTGTGAAACTCTAGGGTAAAGACTGAATACCGAGGTTCACATGCCTTGCCCAGGCCTCTGCTGTCCCTGAGAATGACAAGGATGCTCTTTTTTATTTTTCCCTTCCTACCATGTGAATGGGGCACATTGTGTGACAGAATTTGAAGCAGGAGGGAGCTCAGAGAGGGACCACTACCCTTGTTTCTTTCTGAGGCAGTGTCTTCCTTGACTCCTGCTTATCAAGATTTTCCTCCAACTTGGGCCCACTACAGACCATTAGAGCTGGGACTTAAAGTTTCTTCCCAGCCATTTAGCTCTAGCTGGAGTGTTAGCAATGTTGGCCTCTCTGAGCTCCGTTTTTAGGGGCTTCTGAGCCCTTGCTGAGATAGTCTGGTGTACGCAGAAGGGACTCCACCATCCTACAGAGTGGGGCTTCAGTGTAGACCCGGTTAAGCTGACCCTAAAGCCCGTGCTTCCTGAAGGTAGCTGGAGCACCCCCACCACCACCACAGCACTGGCACCTTTGGTAGAACCACAGACAGCAGTGCCATCTTGCAAACTCTTGTTCTTTGGCATCCCGGAACAGACATGGAAGCCCTGATTTGGTTCTCCAGTGGGGTATGTCCAGAGGAATGGGTGCAGGGCAGAGAGACTCCCTCGAGTTCAGCTCAGACAGGGCTGGTACACACAGAGGAAACTGAGGGTTTTCTGCGGGTGGGGTGTGGATGCCGGGTTGGGATGCAGGAAGGGCGGCTGTGATAAGGACTCTGGCCTGCTTGAGCCTCACTGTTTCTGGTGGAACTCTGCCTGTTTGCTGGGAGTGGGTCAGGCTGAGGTTTATGATGGTTAGGGGTGAATAATAACTGTTACGCCCAGGTTAGTCTGGGAGGTGAGTTAGACCCTGACCTAGGATGGGCTAAGGCTAGGGGAATGTTGGGAGTGGGCCAGATAGAGGTGACCTGGGCAGGACCAGCCCCAGCCTAGAATGGCAACTCCCGCACTCACGCAAGCTCCTCCCCAGAAGGGGACGCCACCTTCGATGAAGAGCATTCCCAGGTGGCCTCGCCGAACCATGAGCAGGACACTGCCGAAGCCAAGGTGGATGAGGCCGATCAGGATCTGCACCGTCTGTGGGAGGCATTGAGCGCTCAGGCCTTTGGCCTCCTGCCATAAGCTCCACAGCGCTCCCTACTGGCCTCTCAAGTGAGCGCCGATCCCCGCTGGTTTGGCTTTCCCTTAGGCTGAGGCCAGAGCATTAAATCAAGATAGAACCAGCTCTCCTCAGCCCACCAGGAGTTCCAGGCCAAATAGTAAAGTATGAGTGGGGCTGTAGTTGTCAAGCACAGCTCCGAGCTGCTTGTCTGATTTTCTGAGCCCTGGTTCTTTGACTCTCAGCACTCTGGTAACCAAATGCCTAGCTTGCCTTCTCCCTGTAGTCTTTTCCTAGCCTATCCTTGGGGGTTAGGGGTGGAGTCACGGCTGCTTCCATTGGCTGAAATCTCCACTTGATTTTCTTTCCATCTCCCTCCTTCCCTGCCCCCTCTTGCCTTCCTCACCCACCTCTTTTTCTTCTATTTCTCAGTGCCCCACGGAAACATTCCCAGATATGGGATGGTTTTCCTAAGGGTGGGAACTCTCTGGGAAGTGTGGCCTTGTGGTAAGTTCTGCTGCATTGCTTTCCAAACATTTTTTGGTGACCAGAACTGAGCAGAAAGAGATGTGGAAGATATTTGAGTTCAGCCTATGCCCAGCCCTGGCACTCTTTCCATCGCATCAACTCCCACAGGAGCTCCTGTGGCGGGCAAGGGAGTCGTCTATCCACGACATCTCCGTGAGCAGTGACAGTCACATTCTTGGAGTCATGGGGACTGTATATCACTTTCTAATTTGAGTGTAAAGATTTGGGATATTCATGGACACAAACTTGAGTATTCTGTTGCTTTCTCTCCTCTATTGCCTACCTTCCATCTCTCTAGCTTCGCTGGGTGGAGGTGTGTGTGTGTGTGTGTGTGTGTGTGTGTGTGTGTGTGTCCCACTGCCAACAACACCATTTTTTTCTTCCACTGGAATAAGTCCTGTGAAGCGTCAGCAGCCCATTAGTACAGCACTGTGCTGGCTACTTTCAGAGAGGTCCTCTTTTAACCGTAACACAATGATGTGAACACCATCTTAATTTTGGAACCCAGGAAACTGAACTCATAGACACTCAGTAACCCATGGGTATGTCGAGTTTTTATGTCAGTTTGACACAAACTAGAGTAATGAAGAGACCCTCAATTGAAAAAATATCTCTCTAAAATCAGGCTGCAGGCAGTAGGGCATTTTCTTAATTAGTGATCAGTGAGGGAGGGCCCAGCCCATGGTGGGTGGTGGCATCCCTAACTGGTGGTCTTGGGTTCTATAAGAAAGCAGACAGAGCAACCTTTGATGAGCAATCCAGTAAGCAGCATCCCTCTGCCTCCAGGTTCTTGCCCTGCTTGACTTCCAGTCCTGATTTCTTCCAACAATAGACTACAATGTGGAGGTGTAAGCCAAATAAACCCTTTCTCCCCCAACTTGGTTTTGGTCATGGTGTTTCATCACAGCAATAGAAATCCTGACTAGGACAGGTAGTGTTCTTCCCTTTGGCTCATACTCCCAGTTACTTATTTAGATTTCCTATAGATTTGCTTTGTCTCACCAAATTTTGTGTTTGTGTGTGTGTGTGTGTGTGTGTGTGTGTGTGTGTG